TCCCAATGCTGGGCCGCGGTTCCCGGCACCCCATCCCCAGACCCTGATGCTGCAGATTGCGAAGCAGGAACTGGAACGGGAGGCCGAGGAACGGCGAGGAGAGAAGGGGCGCGCTCTGAGCACACGGTGCCAGCCCCTGGAGTTGGCCGGGCTGGGCTTCGAGGAGCTCCAGGTACCGGTTCTCATCAGGGACTCCGGCCCAGCCCGGGGTCGCAGGTTCCTAGTGTCCGATCTTGCGTCCCTTGGGACTCAGGGGTATACTTACGATGTCCCCACTCTTCTGCTCAGGACCTTCGGGCCCAATTTGCCAATCCTCACCCTTAGGAGTTCAGAAATGTGGCCCGCAGCTGCCTACAACCTCAAAACCCAGAGACTGGTTCCTCCAGCCCAACTCCACTCCAGATTCTGAGAACCTCTGACTCTAAAGTTCCCCAGGGTCTGGCTTCAATCTGCTCCTCCAGGTCCCCAGCCCCTCCTCCCTCAGACCCAGGAGTCCAAACCCCCGGGGTTTCTCCTCACTACACACACCGCATTCCCCCACCAGGACTTGTGCCGACAGCTCCACGCCCGCGTGGACAAGGTGGACGAGGAGAGATACGACGTGGAGGCGAAAGTCACTAAGAACATCACAGAGGTGGGAGGCACTGGGCAGCCTGGGGCCCTTCAGGGTACGGTGCGATGCCTCGGGCTCTGGTCTCAGCCTGGCCCCTCGCAGCTGCTTACAGCTGCAGACACCAGGAGACCCAGGACAACTCTGTGATCCTGGCAGGGAGGGGCCAGAAGGATGAGCACAATAGGGTCAGGGAATGCTGTTCCAGGCAGAGGGAACAGCACATGCAAAAACCAGGAGGGAACAAAGCAAGAAATATGTTTGTGAACATTTGTGGCTGGAGCCTCAAGTGTTGGTAAGTTAGCTCAAGTGTAGGCCAGGGACCTGTGAGATGCATGTAGCTGGACTGGGATGTGTTGGTGGTTTTCAGAGACGAGGCTGAGGCAAATCGGGATCCAATTACAGGATGGGGAGCTTGAATTTCATCCTGAGGGTGGTAGAGGCCTGAACTAGGGAGAGCCTGGCTAGAGATAGAAGAGAAGTGTAGGGCACAGGAGTGAGGCAAGGAGGAGGAGGAGGAGGGTCTCCACCTCCCGTTATGGCTTCGCCCAGATCGCAGATCTGAACCAGAAGATCTTTGACCTTCGGGGCAAGTTCAAGCGGCCCACTCTGCGAAGAGTGCGGATCTCTGCAGATGCCATGATGCAGGCACTGCTGGGCGCCAGGGCTAAGGAGACCTTAGACCTGCGGGCCCACCTCAAACAGGTGAAGAAGGAGGACACGGAGAAGGTGAGTGTGGCTTGGTCCAGGAAAGGGGGTGCTTAGGGGAGGAAGTAGTGGGCAGCAATCCTAGGACCCAGCCTGAGGGTGGTGACAGGTGGAATTGTGGGGAGAAGTATCTGGTAAGGGTCCTCCACAAGAAGTCTAGGAGGGGTACAGGAAATGCAAGAGTAAGACAGGATGTAGAAGAGGAAGACAGGAAGTGCATCAGGGAGAATAGAAGTGGCAAGGAATCAGGAAGTGCATGAGGGAGACAGGAAGTCCAAGAGGCAGACAGGAAGTACATGAGTGAGAGAGGAAGTGCAGGAGGGTGACAGGAAGTGCATGAGGGAGACAGGAAGTCCAAGAGAGAGATAGGAAGTGCAGGAGTGAGACAGGAAGTACATGAGTGAGAGAGGAAGTGCAGGAGGGACACAGGAAGTGCAGAGTGCAGATAGGAAGTGGGCATATTGGAAAGGATTGTCTGAGGGGACAAGAAGTATTCCAGAACCAGACCCTGCAATGGGCATCTGGAACAAGTGACCCAGCAGGTGGGAGGGCAAGTGGAGGATATCTGAGAGTCTGTAGACCAGGAAGACATGCTAACCTCTGACCCATTACCTCCCCACCCCCCCACCCCCCACCAAGGAAAACCGAGAGGTGGGAGACTGGCGCAAGAACATCGATGCGCTGAGTGGAATGGAAGGCCGCAAGAAAAAGTTTGAGGGCTGAGCTGACTAGCCACTGCCCTGACCCTGGCCTCGAGGATGGCCCTGAGGAATAAAGCTTCTCTCTGAGCTGGGGGTGGCTGTTTCTCTACTACTGGGGGTGGGGAGGGCGATTAGGTGTGAGAGGCGGAGAACTTGGGACAGGAGGGGTACCAGAGAAGAGCAGGAGTAGAGGTGGGTCTCCACGTGGGAATGCACAGAGGTGCCGAGACCAAGGAGACCAAGGCCCAAACACAGACACCCGGAGGCACAGACAGACTGAGCGACACAGGCCAGAGACGCAGGCAGAGACCCAAAGGCACAGGGAACAGAGATTCACAGGAAGCAGTGCACAGACACAGAAAGAGGGACTAGAAAGACAGATATACACAGTGAGACAGAGATGAGCTTACCCAGGAAGAGAGAAATAAGGACCAATGGGGAGAGAGTGGCAGAGACACAAAGAGACCACACACACACACACACACACACACACACACACGAGCTAGGAAGTTAAAGACAGACACAGAGCTAAAGACACAAGGGGCTTCCCTGCTGGTCCAGTGGCTAACACGCTGCACCCTCAATGAAGAGGGCCCAGGTTCAATCCCTGTTCAGGGGACTAGATCCCACATGCCACAACTATTCAAGGCAGTCATATAAATAGATATTTAAAAAAGAAGAAGAAGGCAGAAACTGAGTCACAGACAAGCACAGGGAGACCTGGGGACAAGATACCCACAGACAGACGCTAAGAGAGGCCAATGTGCAGAGACACCCAGAGAAACGCAGAGAGAAGAACCGGCAGACAGACAGGCGGAGTGAAGAATTCAGAGACACAGGGGTGCGGAGAGAGGCGAAAGAGAGCCCCAGAGTCAACCCCCAAGAAACAGGGAGACAGAGGCACTGAGAAGCCCAGAGGGGTGAGGAACCCCTAGAGTTCAAGGTCGTGGCTCGCCTGGGAAATGGGAGGGGGATACCAAAAAAGATCAGCGTCAGATGGAGGGGGGGGGCTGAGGTCCCGCAGAGTCTGACACCGCCCTCCCCCACCCCCTCACACACCTGCTGCCCTGCTTTAGCGCCTGTTGTCACCAGAGTGGAATCCTGGTGGCAGACAAAGGGATGGGGGTGGGGAGGGGGCACAGAAAGACGGACGGAGACAGAGGTGGGGAGAAGCTGAGACGGACCCACACAGACAAACACAGATGGAGAGTCACGGAGACAGAGGAGAGACAGACAAGAAACTGTGTATGTGAGGTGGATGCCCAGAGACAGAGAGAAAGCACCCCTTTCATGGAGGGATAAAATCTCCCTTGGACCCCTCCTCCTCCAAGGGCCAGCTGTAGGGCTGAGCCCAGCGACTTAAGAGCACAGGGTGCCGGGGCCAGGGAGGGGGAAGCCCAAGGGTGACCTGGCCCAGCCCGGGCTTCCTGGACAATGCTTTTGGGATGAGGGAGAGGCCTTGGAACAGCCAGGAGTGCCTGGAACCCTAAAGTGGAGCCAGAGCGGGGGTGGGGCGGGGGGGCTAGGGGCGGGCAGGGCCACCTCTGAGCTGGGCTGAGACTTTGAGGAAAGGAATCCTCTCCCCCTTCCCCTCCCCCTGGGGCGGGGCTCAACCTCTGGCTATAAACCGGGGTGCTTCAGCCTGCCCAGCAAGATTTCTCCCCACCACTCTCTCACACCTTTGCTGACCCAGACTCAGGTAACAGCCCCCCGCGATCTCCAGGGGTGTCCTCGGGGGAGGGGGCAGAGCGATGGGAGACATGAGAGGTGAGGAAGAGACATATGGAGCCAGATCTGGGAATTTGAGGGGGCCAGGCTCTGGGGACTGGGGATGGAGGGGGGAATGTATGAAGAATTGGGGGGTTATACAATCTAGGGGTGCCAGCTTTTGGGTATCCCAGAATAGAACTCCTTAGGGCTTTGGAGCTGTGAGTCCAAGGGAATCTCAGAAATTGAGAGTCCCTGAGCTTGGATGGCAGACAGTCTGGGTGTTAGGACTGGGGATCAGTGTCTGCGAATTTAGGACTTAAAGTCACAGAATCTGAGGCCTCATGGCTGGAGGTGATAAAATTTGTAGTATCATATTGGGTGTAGCATCAATCGGCCTCTGAATTTGGGTGTACAGATTTTTGGGGTCTCATAATCTTGAGGTTTCAGAATTTAGGTCAAGACCTAAGGGATCAAGATTTTAGGGTGTCTGGGCTCACAACCTGCAGGGTCCACAGTTGGAGGGAGGGGTCTCAGAATCTGGAGATACCAGGACTTGCTGGTTTTCAGAATTCATCAGTTAGGATCTGTGTGTATCGGGGTTTGGGGAGGTCTCAATCTGGACACCTTGGGGATTTCAGATATGGGGGGGTCTTAGTATTTAGGGGTCAGGGTGAGGCCTGGGAACAGAAGCTGCTCTTGTGTGTCCTGTCCCCTCTGTGGCAATGGATGAAGGTGAAAGGAGGTGACAGGTGGGCAGATAACCCGCCAAAGGGGAGGGGGCCCTGGGGGTGGGAGAGGACGGTGGGGGTGATTAATTCTCCCAGAAACCCCCCCGCCGCCCTCAAATACTTCTCAGGAAATGTCCTCTGTGTCACCCGATGTGACATCCCCCCAAAATAGACCCTGGGGGCGGGACAGCTATTGTCTTCAGGCCACTGTCCCTTCCCAAATACCTTCTCCTAATCCCGACCCAGATCAGGTTCCCACGGACTTGTCATAAGACAAAAGGAGACAGCTGTGGAGAGGGGCGGGGCCGCAGCCCGGGGCTCGGCCCCACCTTACCCCCCAGTGCCCGGATCACTGGAACAGGAGGTTGAGGAGTTGGGGGCCCCAAGCCCTCCTCCCTCAGACCCGGGGGTCCAGATCCCCAGCCCCTCCTCCCTCAGACCCGGGGGTCCAGATCCCCAGCCCCTCCTCNCCGCGTCTGCGCGCGGCCGCTCCCCTCCCCGGCCCCCCACCCCCTCGCTTCTCCTGCGCCCCCTCCCAGCCCCCGAGGAGCCGGAGCCGGCGGCAGAGCGAGGTAACCGAGGCTGCTTCGCTTCCGGAGAGCGATCCCGGGGCCTCGGGGCCCCGACCTCCGCGAGGACCCGCTCCGCGCCCCCCAACCCGCGCCCGACCCGGCCCGGCCCTTTAAGCCCGGAGCGCGCTCGCGCCCTCTGCTGGCCGCGAAGGGAACCAGCCTCGCGGAGGCTTTAACCCGTTCCCTTCCGTCTTAAAGGGACCGACACCCAAGCCTTCTTCCCCAGATTGGAGGGACACGCACAGAAGGGTTGGGTGTTTGTGGAGAGGCACCCCTCCCTCCCTCTCGTCTTCGCCTGTCCCTCACTTTTCTCCTTCATATACATTCAAAGGTTGGGGCCTGGGTTGCCGTAGGGGCTAGCGATGGTCGAGGGGGAGGGGGTCTGGATTCCTGTGTCTCTGGCGGGCGAGGGGGCCGAGGACACGACCCCTGGTCACCGAGCGAAGAGAGGGCTGGGGGCCTCCCTGCACTGCTAGGCCTCGATGGAGGCGGGTAGGAGCTCTGGGTCTGTAGGACAAGGGGCGGGGCGGGGGGTTGCTTTTGTTTTGTCTCCTTATGGTCTGGAGTTTTGGACACCTGGGTTCCCAGCGATGGGGGAGGGGGACCCCCCACACCAGTTCTGAATGTATATCTGATGCGTGTGACCCTCTCCCTCCTAAAGGCCACCCTGATTTCCCTTATCCTCTTTTACCTCCCAACCCCTCCCCTGGAGCTGCAGGAGAAGGGAACTGGGCTGGTGGGAACCACGGCTGGGGGTGGGGGGGGGCTCCTTTGGATATGTCATGTCCACCCTCCCACGAACTCTTGCTAATTATCTCTTTGTATCCCCCTCACCAGAAGAGGAGCGCCCCAAACCAAGGTGAGATCCTAGGAGGGTGGGGGTCCCTGTCACATCCCCTTAAATATATCCCCCACCTCCAGAGACAGGGTGAAAGAGAGGCAGAGAAAGAGAGTGGGGAAACGGAAGCACAGGAAAGGGCAGTGATTTCCGCAAACATTTCTGTGGAACTTTCCACTTTGGTGTTTGGCGAGAGGCAGGCTCTGCCTGCCCTGTTGGTGAAAGTAGACCCAGATCCAGCTACTGTAGCACAGTTGTTTGATTGCTCTTTGTGACCCCATGGACTATAGCCCACCAGGCTCCTCTGTCCATGGGATTATTCCAGGCAAGAATACTGGAGTGGGTTGCCATGCCCTCCTCCAGGGGATCTTTCAGATCCAGGGGTCGAATTCGCATCTCCTACATCTGCTGCATTGGCAGGTGGATCCTTTACCGCTGAGCCACCCAGGGAAGCCCATGGTAGCACAGAGGAGGGGACTATCTCTGCCCTAGGCAATCAAGGAATCCCAGGGGAGGTGATGCCTGAGAGAGAAGCAGTTTGCTAGCTGAAGGAGGTATAAGGGAGATGGTAGATGAGGAAGCGAGTGGTGTGTGCAAGGTCCAGTGTTTCAGAGACAGATACAAACACAGGAGGATCCAAACTAGGCAGACCACTGGAGTCATGAGAGCTCACGGAGGGGAGAGAGGAGCCCTGGAGTCTGTAATATTGGGACCAAAGCTTGGCAATGCAGGACTTCCCTGGCAGTCCAGTGGTTTTAGGACTACGCCCCCAATGCAGTGAGTGTGGGTTTGATCCCTGCTTGGGGAACTAAGATCCCACATACTGTAAAGTGCAGCTAAAAACTAAAACAAACAAAACAAACCCAAAGCTTAGAGATGCAAGGAGGCAGCCATTCGAGCAGAAGAAGTGGAAATCCTTGGGGCCTGTGCGGACAGGGTGTGAATTTCAGTGTGGCTATAGAGGGGTGGGGCCACGGAGGCCAGGGTGCTGGGGAGCCTGCGGAGGGTTCTGAGCAGAGGGGACACAGGGTTGACTTGGGTGAGAGCCAGGTGCGCAGGAAAGCACAGGTGTGCTTCAGCATCAGGGAAGCCTTGTTTGGGCAGGGAAGTTCCCAGGGGCGGGTGTGGGGTGGTATATCAAGGGAAGGGTATTGCAGGCAGGGCAAACAGCATGTGCAAGTGCCCGGGGGCATTGGGGTGCATGACATGTCCAGGGAACTGTGGGGTGAGGTGAGGCCTAAGCTGGGGCAGAGGGCTGAGGGTAGAAAGGGTCCACCGACTGAGAGACCCCCAGGGTTCGGTGTTGTTCTGCCATGGCACATGGCATGTGGGCTCTTGACTCTGAGACCAGGGATGGAACCCACACCTCCTGCAGTGGGAGCACAGGGTCTTAAGCACCGGGCTTCCAGGGAAGTCCCAAGAACCCCAGGTTGATGAGCTCAGTTGGGGCAGGGTTTGCGCAAAGACAGGAAATGTTCAGGAGGCATCTGTTCACTGGTGTCTGAGGTTTGAGAGTCTCCTCGAGACAGAGGCGAATCCTCAGTAAATGATGGCAACTGAAGTCACAGGAATGAATGACTGACCTGTGAATGAATCAAATGAATCAAAGGGCAAAACTCCCACCAGGGGACAAAAGGACAGAGATGGGACAGGCAGAGAAATAGGAAGCGAGTCAGGAGGAGGCACTGTCTCAGAAATCAAAGAAGAGGGCATTTCCCTGGTGGTCTGAGGGTTAAGATTCTGCCCTCACAGTGCAGGGGGCTTGGGTTCAAATCTTAAGCAGGGAATTGACCCACATGCTGCACCATGCAGCTAAAAAAATAAATTTAAAAAATTAATAAAGAAAGAAAATTCTAAGAAATGGGAGGACCCTGGGGCTGGAAATCAAGGGCAGCCCCTCATAGCCGCACCACCCAATACAAATACAATGCAAGCCACATATGTAACTGAATCATTATTCTTTTTTTTTTGCTAGCTACATTTAAAAAGAGTAAAATGGGTAAAATGAATCCCAATAGCATATTTTACTCAACCTGTTGTACCCGAAATCGCATCGTTGGGACACTAGGCCATATTAACGTCCTTAGTGAAACATTTTACATTCTTTGGTTCCACCGTGTCTGTGGAATCAGGGCCTGCATCTCACCGCAGCCCGTCCGATGCGGACCGGCGCTCAGGACCCACGTGAGGCTGATGCTGCCCCGCGGGAAGGTCAGGGTACTCAGCGTTTCTCCTCTTCTGTTCTCGCAGCCGACCCGTGGTACCTCCTCTGATCCCGCCAAAGATCCCAGAGGGGGAGCGCGTGGACTTCGATGTGAGTAACGGACGCTCCATCCCGGGCGGGGTTGCTAGCCCTTAGGGCGAGAATTAGGAAGCGGCGCCCCTCCCTTCTTCTTCTTTCTTTTCTTTCTTTCTTCTTCTTTTTTTTTTTTTGTCTTTTTCCTTTTGTGTGCTTGCTTTTTTACCCTCCTGGAATTGCGTCCTCGCGGCCCCCTAGGGTTAGAGCCCGGTGTTCGCTGCCATCTGCTGGACATCGAGCGAACGGCAGCCGTCTGTCCCAGCGGACGGTCAACCCACCAACTCTTGCGGTCAAGGGGTGCCCCTCTTGACGCTTCTCAGAGGTGCTGAGGGGCTGGCGCCTTCTCGGGGTACCCCCTGGGGATGACCAGGCTCCCGCCCTCCGTCCCCCTAGGACATCCACCGGAAGCGCATGGAAAAGGACCTGCTGGAGCTGCAGACGCTCATCGACGTCCACTTTGAGCAGCGGAAGAAAGAGGAAGAGGAGCTGGTGGCGCTGAAAGAGCGCATCGTGAGTGGAGGGCGGTGCGGTTGCCCCAGTTCGCCCCTCGCCTCCCAGCCTCTGGGTCCTGGGATATACGGAGCACGGTCGCCATCCAGTGCAGACCCAAGGCTGAAACTTTCCGGATCGCACCGAAGTTGATGCTCGTCTCCACTCCTGACCTGACCTGGGAAGGGATAAGGGAGTGCGTGGTGGTCCCTGCACCCGCTCAGCCCTCTGTCTCCTGCAGGAGCGGCGCCGGGCCGAGAGAGCCGAGCAACAGCGCTTCAGAACTGAGAAGGAGCGCGAGCGTCAGGCCAAACTGGCGGTGGGTGCCTCCCCTCCTCCTTGCCTCCCCTCCTCCCGGGACTGTTTTCCATTCATGATCTCTGTGACCTCAAGAAAGTCCGCATGCGTATTATCCATGGATCTTGCTGTTGGAAGGGAGGGAAACCCCAACCCCAACTGAATTTAGCGAAAAGAGAGTTTTATTGGCTCATATAACTAAATTGCCTAAGGCAGTGCCTGCTTCAGGCAAGGCTGGATCAAGGGACTTAAATACTATCACAAAGACCCAGCTTTTCTCTGTCCATCCTTTGGCCTATATTTATGTGGAAAATGTGTTCAGGAGGGTGCCTAGCATGTTCCTGGTCTGAGCCCTGAAAATCCTGACTCCCATCAATCTTAGGCAGGAGTGACCAATGTCCAGCTGCAGGTCTGGCTTAAACTCCTCTTTGTCTCTGGCACAAATCCTAGGATGTTTTCAGACTGTTTACCTGCCATTGTGGAATGAACCACTGGCTGGTTGGGAGAGAGTGAGTAGAACTCTCCCAATGCTTTTGGCCTTGGAAACATGACCTGACTTGAAATCAGGCATGACTCACTCAATTCATTGTTTTTTTTTTTTTTGGCTGCACCTCGAAGCATGTGGGATCTTAGTCCCAGGGGTCGAACCCGTGCCTCCTGCAGTGGAAGTGCAGATTCTTAGCCACTGGACCACCAGGGAAATCCCTTAAACTATTTTTAAAGAACAGGAATTGGGTGGTGTGGTAGGCAAAGGACTGGTCTCCCAAAGATGTCTGCTTCTGGATTCTCAGAGACTATGACTGTGGGACCCTACACGAGGAAAGGGACTTTGCAGAGTTGATTACATTAAGGATCCAGAGATGGCGAGATCCTCCTGGATTTTCTGGGTGAGCCCAGCATTATCTCAAGGTCCTTACACAGGGACCTTTGCAGATGGAGGAAGAAGACCTGAGCCAAGGGATGCAGGCAGCCCTGAGAAGCTGGAAAAGGGAAGGGGGTGACTCTCTGCTCACTCCTCCAGAAGGAGGCTGTGTGCCCCTTGACTTAGCCCTGCAGACCTGCTGCAGACTCCCGACCTGCAGAAATACAAGATGATAAACTGACATTGCTTTAAGCCACTATGTTTGCAGATTACAGCAGTGAGAGGAAGCACATTCAGGTGGGGAATTATGGGCAAGCCCTGCACCATCATGCCCACCTTGCCTGCCCCTCCAGTGGGGAGTGGGCTTTGGTCGGGGTGAACGTCTAATTTTGGAACACACAACACAGACTTTCCAGATGTAGTCACGCCTCAGTGAAGGCTTTCTGGAGTCCCTTCCTCAGGCTCAAGGCCAAGAGCCTCTTGACTCTGCCCCCACCCCCAACTCCCATGACCAGTTACCCTCTTTGTCCCTCTGAGGAAAGTCATTCTCTCGTGATACTAGAGGAGAGTAAGTTTCAGAGAGCAGGTACCTACACGGAGGTCACACAACAGATCGCCACTGGCCGTTGCAGGCTGGAGCATGCAGAGAAAAGCAAGCATATCCCTCCCACCCAGCTTAAGTTTTCCTGGGGGTGGGGGCAGCATATTAAGGCTCAGAGATGACGAAGGACTGGCTGGTGGTCACACACCCAGGCCTGGAAGGGCCAGGAGGAAGTATTTTCATCCTTATCTGTTCTGATATTGACCATGTCTCTCCTGAGCTTCCCTGGCAGCTCAGACGGTAAAGAATCTACCTACAATGCAGGAGGCTGGGGTTTGATCCCTGGGTCGGGAAGATCCCCTGGAGAAGAGAATGGCAACCCATCCAGTGTTCTTGCCTGGAGAATCCCATGGACAGAGGAGCCTGGAGGGCTACAGTCCATGGGGTCGCAGAGAGTCAGACACGACTGAAGCAGCTCACACTCACTTTCTCACGCTTGAGTCTGATTGACCCTGATTCACTCATTGCAGAATCCACCTCCCCCACGCCCCTCTCAGGCACCCTCCAGGCTCAGTCCAGGGGGGTGGGGGAGGCCCAGGGGTGAACCCTGTTCTTCCCACAGGAGGAGAAGATGCGGAAGGAAGAGGAAGAGGCCAAGAAGCGGGCCGAGGACGACGCCAAGAAGAAGAAGGTTCTGTCCAACATGGGCGCCCATTTTGGGGGTTACCTGGTCAAGGTGAGTTCAGCCTGCTGGGGCCTGAGGTCTGGGCTCCCAGGGAGGCAACTGGGGTCTGAGGAGGAGGGGATGGGGTCTGGACCTCCGGGTCTGAGGGGGGAGGGGCCAGGGCCTTGGATCCCCGGGTCTGAGGGAGGAGGGGCGGGGCCTGGACCCCTGGGTCTGAGGGCGGAGGGAATGGGCTCTGGACCCCCAGGTTTGAGGGGGGAGGGGCAGGGCCTGGACCCCCGGGTCTGAGGGATGAGGGGCGGGGCCTGGACCCCTGGGTCTGAGGGCGGAGGGGATGGGCTCTGGACCCCCAGGTCTGAGGGGGGAGGGGCCAGGGGCCTGGACCCCTGGGTCTGAGGGCGGAGGGGATGGGCTCTGGACCCCCAGGTCTGAGGAGGAGGGGATGGGGCCTGGACCCCCGAGTCTGAGGGCGGAGGGGCGGGGGCCTGGACCCCTGGGTCTGAGGGCAGAGGGGATGGGCTCTGGACCCCCAGGTCTGAGGAGGAGGGGATGCGGTCTGGACCCCCCGGTCTGAGCGGGGAGGGGCTGGGGAGCCACCCCCACCTCATGGTGCCCCCTGCCCACCCTCAGGCAGAACAGAAGCGAGGGAAGCGTCAGACGGGGCGGGAGATGAAACTGCGTATCCTGTCTGAACGGAAGAAGCCTCTGAACATCGACCACATGGGAGAAGAACAGCTCCGGTACGCGGGAGGGGCCCGGGTGTCAGAGAGGCAGATGGGGCGACCCCTGGCCCAGGTCTGAGAGGGAGGAGACCCAGGCGCTGTGTGACTTTGTGCGAGGGTCTCCCCCTCTCTGGGCCACTCCCCTGTGGAGGGTCACTGATGCAGGGCCTATGTTTTTGGTGCCAAGACCTGTAGAGCCTGGGAGATGATAGGAAACCAGAGCACAGGGCTGACCAACATGGAGGCGATCCTGTTGTTCTGATGATGTCCCTCGGGAATCCCAAACGGGCTCCATCTCCTGCCCAAGTTAAAGCCAGACATGCTGGCCACAATTTCCCAGGCAAATCTCTTCCGGACGGACCCCTGTCTCTCCCTTCACAGCTCACTATGGGCACAGCCTGCCTCTCAGGATAAGCCCCCAGAGGGAAGGCTGGGGAGGGTCTTCCCTCGGGGGCCTCCTCTGTGTCTTAGGGGCCCAGGCACGGCCCTTGAAGTCAGAAACACCCACCACCCCAGAGGCGGCGCGGTGAGGGGACTTGGAGCTCAACACCTGAGACTGCCTGCAGGGGCTCAGTGCCAGCTCCACTGCTTAAGCTGTGTGATCTTAGGCACGTTGTCACCTCCTCTGAGCCTTGTTTTCCTCACTGGTAAAAGGAGGCTGTGATGAGTCTACATCACGGAGCAGCAAAACGTCAGTGAGCAGGAGCCCCGTATGGAGGGCTTGCAGCTCCATGCGGGAGATACCATTATACTATTATCACCCTGTTAGAGATAACACACCAGAACATTAAAAAAACCAACAAATGAAAAAAGGCACAGAGAGGTTAAGGAACCTTTCCAGGGTTGCACAGCTTGCAGACACAAGAGTGGGGATTGGAACCCAGGAAGTCTGGTGTGGTAGTCTGTGTTCTTCTTCACGTATTTACGAAGGGGCATGATGGTAAATGCTTCCCAAGTGGATCTCCAGAGGCTAAAAGTCCATATCTTAGCATTTGCTCATTTCCATGGTGTGAAAGCTCCCAGGATGCTGATTTCAAACCCCAGCATGAGGACCCTGCGCTCAGAGTTGGGGGATGGATATTCAGAGTTGCTCCAGCCCCCTCCCTCCCAGGAAACATTATCACAGGGCCTGGACTAAATAGTATATCTCTAACGTTCCTTTTCCTCCTCTCTCCACCCTACACCACACGTCTGCTCATCGTTTGGGTCCACTGATAATTTTGGAGGATCTCAAGTTACTTAAGTTTTATTTATTCAATACAGATCATATGATGGTCTATAAAAATTTAAAATAAAATACAGCACAGAAGAGAGAGCATTTGAAAACCATTAGCTGGCAAAAGAAAACCATTAACTGGAAAAAGAAAACACAGAATACTAGTAAGAATTGAAAGAATAATAACAACTAGCTTTATCAACTATTTACTATGTGCCAGGTACTTTATACCTGTTCTCTCATCCTCTAATGGCTCAAGGCAGTAGTTTTTTTGTCAGTTCAGAATAAGTTTCGCCTCTAATAATTGAAATCCGACTATAGCAGCCTAAAACATAGAGGTTTGTTTCCTTACATAGAAGGAATCTGTAGTCCACAGCTGGTATGGCAATTCTACATAATGATTAAAGACTCAGACTCCTATTTTTCCTCTCCACTACTTTTACTCCAACATTTCCATCGTCCAAATCGCCTCATGGTCAAATGTGGCTGCTGGTGCTCCAGCCAGCACATCCAAGCAGCAGAAAGAAACTGCAAGGCAAGACCCACAAAGGCTTACCTGGAAGCTCCACTCAGTGACCTACTTTCATCCCACTGGCCGCCCTACCTGCAAGGGAGATTGGGGAGAGTAGTAGCAGAGCCTACCACAAAAAGTTCTAAGGAAGAAAGGGAGAAGGGGTATGGAGGGGACAACCCATAACTTCTTCACCATTTTCTTTCTGCATTTTTCTGGAGAGGGAAACAGGATCCTCAGGGGAGTCACTTGGCCATAGTCACAAGCCAGAGAATGCCAGAGCTGGTGTTTGAACCTAGGCTTTCTGACTCCAGGACCAGGCCAGAGATTTAAAGACCCCTTGCTGCCATCCGCTTTGCATAGTAACGAAAGGGCCCCAAATTATTAACACAATGGCACCAGTAAAGCCGAACTCAAAGGGTTCCCTCAGCCCCTCTGGGCCTGGGCCGGGCCTGGCTGCCTTCCCTGACAGTCCTTCTGCCTGGCCAGGGAGAAGGCCCAGGAACTGTCGGACTGGATCCACCAACTGGAGTCAGAGAAGTTTGACCTGATGGCGAAGCTGAAGCAGCAGAAATATGAGGTGAGACCCGTGTTTGCTAGAGGCTGGGCCGGGCTGGGGCTGGGTGCTGGAGGCTGGGCCAGGCCAGGCCAGGCTGGGGCTGGGGGCTGGGGGCCTGGCTTGGGTTGGGTCGGGGCAGGGGGCGCCTCTCCCTCTAGCTCTGCCAACACCTCCCTCCGGTCTCCGCAGATCAACGTCCTGTACAACCGCATCAGCCACGCCCAGAAGTTGTAAGTGTGAACGGAGCCTGGGCCCCACACCCTGCTGCCCCGACTCAGTTTCAGCCCCGACCACCCTTTCCCCGGGGCTCTGTCTCCATCCCTCTTTCTCTGGAACGTTCTCGTAACCTGTCCTTTTCTCCCCATCTCCAGTTCTCTTCTGGGGTCTCAATCCCCTTTCTATGTCCCTCTAAATCACTGGTCCTCCGGATGGTGGGTGGTGATCTCCCCGCCTACCCGACCCAGAGGACATCAGGTTTGGGGAGGGGGTCCTAGTGGCCCCTGCTGGGTGGAGCTCAGGGCTCCTGTTCAGCGTCCTGGGATGCTCAGGACGGCCCTCAAATGCCACTGGTGCTGACGTCGAGAAGCGCGGCTTTTGCTGTGTTTCTTGCTGTCTCCCACTCCCCTTCCCTCCCTCTCTCCATCTTCTCTCGCCTCAGTCTCCGTCTTTCTCTTCCCTCCAGCCTCCCCGGCCCTCGCTCGGTCACTCTCCCCTTCCTGCCCCCAGCTCTGTATCCCTAACCATTTATCAGCGCCCAAGTGAACATCCTGAGCTGGCCCAGGGATATCACCTCCCGCCCGTCGGTGGGCCGGAGACCGCTAATCGCGCCACCCCAGGCAGCGAACCCTCCACGAGCAGGCAGTGGCGGGCCTCTTCCCGTGGCGGGGAGGGCGGGGCCCATCTCGGAGGTGGGTGGGGAGGCGCTCCATCCTGACACCCCTCCTCCTCCTCCTCCAGCCGGAAGGGGGCCGGGAAGGGCCGCGTCGGAGGCCGCTGGAAGTGAGGAGCTGGGCACAGCGCCCCCGCCCCCTCGAGGCACCTGGGAGCCCTTGGCGTGTGCGTCCATCAGGGCCTTGAAATAAATGCTCGCCCTGCCGCAAGTGCCCGAGTTCTGTGTTGTTATGAACGCGCAGCTGGCCATGCGGAGGCCACCAGCTCACAGCTGCTGGGGGAATCCTCTCAACAGTCCAGAGGACCTTGTGTAAGGCTGACCCCTCACCCACAGCTGGTGGTCGTGCAAAACGGTGCGACCGCTCTGGAAAGGAGTCTGGCAGGTCTTTAAACAGTGAACCACAGCATTACCATTTGTTGTTTAGTTGCTAAGTTGTGTCCGAGTCTTTGTGACCCCGTGGACTGTAGCCCGCCAGGCTTCTCTGTCCATGGGATTCTCCAGGCGAGAACACTGGAGTGGGTTGCCATTTCCTTCTCCAGGGGATCTTCCCGACCCGGGGATCAAACCCGCGTTTCCTGCATTGTTAGGTGGAATCTTTACCGCTGAGCCGTAGGCCCTAGCAATTCTGCCCCAAGAGAAGGGAAAAGATGTATTCTCGCAAACACGTGTACAGGAATCTCAGCAGCAGCGTAGCTCAGGATCCCCAAGAGGGGAAAACAACCCAAACGTCCATCCACCGGTGGACAGATGCGAGGAAATACTATTCAGTTGTAGAGAGGAATGAGGCTCTGACACAGGCTTCAGTGTAGATGAGTCCGCAAATCAGAATGAAGGAAGCCAGATGCAGATGGCCACACATTGCGAGATCCCCTTGATGCGAAATTTCTAGAAGGCAAATCCACAGAGGCAGGGAGTAGAGGTGGTCTACAGGGACGCAGGGGAAGAAAGGAGTGGGGGAGGGTAATGGCTAAAAGGAATGGTGCTTCTTCCGGGGGCGATGAGAGTGTTCTGGCATTACAACCTTGTAAACAGACTAAAAAAAAAAAAAAAAAACGCTCTGATCACATTACTATTAATATATGTAAAATAGATAACGAACAAGGACCTGCTGTAGAACACAGGGAACTCTGCTCAATGCATTGTAGTAGGGCAGTCCAGTAGTTAAGACTCCGGGCTTCCACTGCCAGGGTCTTGGGTTCAGTCCCTGGTTGGGGAACTATGATCCCAAAAGCCACACGATGCAGCCAAAAAAAAAAACAACAACCAAAAAAACAAACTAATAACCTATAAGGGAAAAGAATCTGAAAAAGAATATATATATATAAAATTGGGTCACTTTGCTCTACACCTGAAACTAACACAACATTGTAAGTTAACTATACTTCAATTTTTTTAAATGGCTAAAAAATAAATAAAAGCACTACATATGGTTCTTGGAGAAAAAAAAAAACAAAACAAAACGGAAATCCAAAAGTGGATAAACCTAAAAAAACCAACAAGCCTGCCATCAGGTACTGAGGTGCCGCCTGCCTTCCTGCTTGGCTTCCCCCTGTGAGGTCGCAGACTGGTCCCGAGATGATTTCTGGAGCTCTGCGCCATCCCATCTGCTTCCCAGAAGGAAGGCAGGAGAAGAGGAGAAGCCAGAAAGGTAAACCTCTTGGCCGAATCAAACCGCTTTCCAAAGCTTTCCTGGATGGCTTCCCTCCCCCCACCCCAGTCGTGCTCACTTAAATCTTATCACTGCCCCTGACTGCGAAGATGACTAGGTCTCCCGCTGGTTCTGGAGCCACCTGGGTGCTTTGCTGCTCCAAACAAAAGCAGGCTTCTTGTTTTTGAGGAAGGACGCAGTAGTGATGGGCAGGCAGCTGTCAGTCTCCGACCCAGTCTCCCGCCACCCACATATATAGTCCCCCTGTCTGGAACACACTCCCAGGCTCCCGTCCGACGAAAGCCCAGGGTGTTTGGGAGGCAGATCAGCTGTCCGGCTTGGGTGTGTCTCCGGGTGGTTTGCATTATATAAATGCAAAGATGAGCTCTCCCTCTCTAGCTAGCCCATGGTGGTAGAGATGGAACAGGGCCTTGTGATACTGGTCATTTAGAAACAAACCTCCAAAGAGGAGGGACAGCAGCACAGTGAAGTCACTGGGGCAGAGCAGAGATCTTAGGTTCAGATCCAGAAAATCTGGAAACCTGGTTCTAGATTTTGGGTAAAATCCGTTTTTTATAAGCACCGTGGTCCCTGACACTGCAAGGGAGAGGGCTTCTTTCTGGGCCTGTGTCCTTGGATAACCTTTGGGAAGATGCCATTCTTGAGATGGTTGTCAATTTCAAAGCCTGTTGGCATGAGTTTGAGGACACAGCGGATATTTTCGTGTGTTGAAAGTCACAGCAGGTCAGCCATCGGGTGCCTTTCGCAATATAATTCTCTCTCTCTTTAACAATTAATTAATCGATATTTATTTTGGTTGTTCCTGCTCTTCATTGCTGTGTGGGCTTCTCTAGCTGTTTGCCTTCTCAGTACTTGCTGTATGTGGGATCTTAGTTCCCCGACCAGGGATCGAACCCATGTCCCCTTCACGGGGAGCATGGACCACCAGGGATGTCCTAACAACATAATTCTATCTTAAACCTAAAAGGTTCCTTTGTGCAAATAACTCTTTCAAGGACAGTTAAAATAGAAATTAGAACTGACTTCTACTATGCTTACCCCTGTTTTCTCACAGAATAGAGGAGTCAACTTGATACTTTGTGAATGTCCTCTTGCATCCCTTTATCTGAACCATCTTTATGAGGTCCGTTTTTCTGCCTCTTGCAGGGAAAAAGGGAACATGTTATCTTTCCAAGGCTATTTTCACCAGCTGTGAGGAGGTTAAGCATCAACATTCCAGTGCTAGCATTGAGAGAAAACAGCAGGCTTGAGAAGTGAAAAAAAACCTTCACCATGGAAAAGAGAAGGGCAGAAAATTGTAATGAGTAAAATATAAAAATGCCTGTACAGAGTCCACGTCTACCTATGAGACAGGCCAGGTACACCATCACAACAGCTCCTGGAGGCAGAAATGAAGAGAGTAAGCCTAGGTCCTAGATCAGACTCCACAGTTGGAAGTGTCAAGAGACAAGATCAAGTCCAGGAATGCCTAAACCAGAGCTGGAATTCTTACCCATTGTAGTAGAATAGAATTTGTTAAACAGAGGTTCAAGTTTAAATGCAGCAGTCACCCTAAAGATTGCTAACAAAACTTAACGGTGGGAGCATGTCCCATAGTAGGTTGTGTGGGTTTAGCAGATACTCCAACTTGTGTCTCTCGTAAATAAAAATCATAAAACTATAGACATATTTACATCACAGCTTACAGACACAATGAACACAAGCTTCCAAAAACAGCATACACCCGGCTACAGACACGACCACAAATACACGCATCACAGTTGTGCACAGGTACAGAGACACACATAACTGAAGACACCCTAACAACATCCACACCATTCAAGCTGCCTGGAGAAGAAGGTGGGTGTATAGGTTGAATGGGAAGTGTGGGATTTAAGGACTACATATCCCCAAAGCCACCTGAACTGCTAACCCTTTTGTATCTGTTAGGTAGTTAGAATAGGGAAAAGGAGTCCAGAATGGCGGTGGCTAAAAGACCTGGAAGGGAAAAGCCCGCAAAAATAGAACAAAGGAAGGTCCAAGAACCGCGGTGAGAATCTCAGGTAAAACACACAGCACTCCTGGCTGGCCCAATTTACATAGGACAGGCCCAGGGAGAGAGAAGCATATAAAAAGAGGAGCCAAAGCTCTCCCGTGCTCTTCTCTCCGCGTCTTTGGGTCGACATGCCCTCACACCTCGAAGATGGATTTTCCTGTTATTTTCTAAACAAAATAGAGCTGTAACACTGATTTCTCTAAGAGCTATAACACGGTCCATTCGAGATCTGAGAGCTATAACACAGTCTGTCCAAGACCCGAGAGCTGTTAACACGCTGAGGGGGCTTTAATGTCCGTCACTCCAAATCCTTGTTGTGACGAGACAAAAACAGGAGCATACACTCGCCTGACATAGCCACCCCAGCGGTCTCCATGTTTCACGGGATCTGTCGTTTATTTCTTAGCACAGGCCCAAGAGCTTTAGAGTGGGTAGAGCTGATCTGCCATCCCTTGGAAAGCAGAACACTTGCCTCTGTACTTCAGAGCCATTCTTTGTGATTTTCAGAGAAGGCAACAGCAACCCACTCCAGTACTCTTGCCTGGAAAATCCCACGGGCGGAGGAGCCTGGTAGGCTGCAGTCCATGGGGTCGCTAAGAGTTGGACACGACTGAGCGACTTCACTTTCCCTTTCATGCATTGGAGAAGGATATGGCAGCCCACTCTAGTGTTCTTGCCTGGGGAATCCCAGGGACGGGGGAGCCCGGTGGGCTGCTGTCTATGGGGTCGCACAGAGTCGGACAGTACTGAAGCGACTTAGCAGCAGCAGTAGCTTTGTGATTTTTATAGCTCTTTGCTCTGGACTCGGAGTGCTTGCTTCTTTCCCAGTGAGGATTAAGGTGCAGACTACTTAAGATGAGACTCACACCGTGCTTTATAACGTTACATATGAGTCAACTCGCCCTCCACGTCCGTAAAGACGTCCCCGCCTTGGACTACAAATCCCAGCATGGCTTGCGAGGACGCACAGCCCGGACTACATTTCCCAGCCTGCTCCACGACCCAAGATGGTAGCAAGTAGCGGGCAGGGCAGGTGAAGTCTCTGAGGAGCTGTCATTGCGGACCCTGCCTCTTGGGTTCCCTTCCTGATGTAATCCAGGGATTCCATCAGGGACTTGGGGTGCTCTGGACCAACCGTGCCTTTAGGGTCGTGGCCCCGAGTACTACGTTTCCCAGCGTGCCTAGCGGCCGATTGCCGTGAACTTAGTTACCGTACTTTATACTTCCCAAGGTGCCCTGGGCGGTCACCCAGGGATTTTCTTGGTCTAAGGGTTGTGGACTCAATTTCCCATGGTATCCTGGCGTTTTTCATGACCTAGGGAATCCATTCATTCATTCACTCATTCAAAATACTATTCCTGTTCGCGTTTTATTAGGTCTTGGTAATGGGAACAGGGATGCACACAGAAGACAAAAATCCCTCTTCTCCTGGGGCCTATTTCTAGTTGAAGGGATAAGACAAAGCCAAAATAAGTAAATCACATGGTATGAGAAAAGCGGTAAG